TTTTTTGGTTTTTCTCCGGTACCGGGAACCGAACTCACGACCTTGCGCTTGCCAGGCAGGCGCTTTTGCCGCTGAGCTAAATCCCCAGCCCCCGCCATCTCAAATTTTAAATGTACCTAACTGAATTGTATTCTAGCTTCTCTAAAAAATCCATAAAAAGCTATCAGAACTAAAAGGAGTTTAGTAAGACTTCAGGATAAAAAAATATTTAAAAATTAATTTTATAAACTTACAGTAAATTAGCTGAAAATCAAAACAATTCCACCTCAAGCATAAACATGAATATGGATATATATCAAATAAGTACAGTCATGTATAAATGTAGTTCTAACCACACAGTCTGGCAATCTTCATCATACCGGGGCTGGGGATATAGCTCAGTGGCACAAGCGCCTGCCTGGCAAGCGCAAGGTCGTGAGTTAGATTCCGGGTACAAAAAAAAAAAAAAAAAAAAAACAACTTCATCATACCAAACAGAAAAACTATTTATATACTGTTTTATGTAGTTATGCACATTACAAGTACCACAAATACATATGTATAATATATGCTGATTTATTAATACCTATCAGATCAAAAAATTAAATGCTTATGTCTAAATATAACTCTAATCATAATAACATGACAATAGAGTACTTAAAATGTACTTAGCCAATAAAACTTATAGTCTGAAAACTAAAAAGCCATAAAATTAATCTAAATAAATGGAAAACATCCATGGTATGGACTGAAAGATTTCACATTATTAAGAAAGAAATGCTCTTCAAATTAATTCTCAAGTTTAAAGCAATCCCTATCAGAATCCCAGTTTGCCACTCTGTAGAAATTGCTAAGGTAATTCTAAAATTCACATGGAATTAAAAGGGACCCAGAAGAGCCAACACGATTTTAAAATATAAAACAAAGTAAGAGCACTCACACTTCCCAATTTCAAAGCTTACTACTAAACAATAGTAACTGAGACAGAATGGTACTGTGTTAGAGCTTGTGTCTAGATATCCCCCCAAAGCCACATGCAGTCACAGGTGAGGCTTTATCAGAGGTGGCTGGATCTAGTGTGTGTGCTTGATTCATGGTGCAAAGCTAGGATTAAACGTGGACAATTATTAACTTAGTCCACTGACTGGTTTGGCACTACCCCAATCCCAATAACCTGGATACAATATAAGTAGCAGAAAGTTGCTGTTAAGGTCCCTTGTTGCTTTTGCTGTTTTCTGTATACCATGAACTATTCTCCTCTGAGACACCTCTCTGCCATGTGCCACTCTGCCTTAGAGCCAGTCAGCTATAGACTGAAATTTCTACAAACTGTGAACTAAATAAATAAACCTTTCCCCTTTAACTTTGGGTGTTGGGTATTTTGTCTCAGCAACAAGAGAAAAGTAACTAAGACATACTGTCGTAAGGATAAACATATCAGTCAACAGAATATTATTGACAGTCCAGAAACATAATTATCCATCTCTACAGAAAACTAATTTTCAGTAAGGGTACCAAGGGACCATTCAGTAAAGAAAGAATACTTTTTTAAACAGTTATATGACAACTGGATATCCAGATGGAAAGGAATAAAGTTGAACCCTTATACTACATACAAAAATTAACTCAAAATAGATAAATGACCTAAATGTAAAAGCTAAAACTATAAAATACTTGGGAGAAAATACAGGGATATAAATGTTCGTGACCTAGGACTTCACAAAAGGATTCTTGGCTATACCAAAAACATGAACAATAAAAGATAAAATAAACTAGATGACTAGATTTTATCAAAATTAAAAACTTTTCCTTCAAAGGGATACCATCAAGAAAAATTATGCTGTGGATACTGCCCTAGGTTCAATCCCCAGCAACACACACACATACACACATATACACACATATATACATATACATATATACTCACACCCACAAAGACAAGCCACAGAATAGGATAAAATAATTGGAAATCATGTATCTGATTGCTAAGGGGTACACAGCTAGAATACTAAAGAATTCTTCTAACCCAGTAATAAAAAGACAACCTAATTAAAAACCAGTCCAGCATCTAAACAGACATTTTGCCAAAGAAAACACAACTAGATAATAAACACAAAATACATTCAATGTTATTAGCTATGAAGGAAATGCAAATCAAGGCAAAATGAGGTACTAGGTTGGCTATAATCAAAATGAGATATTGTACTAGTTTGGCTACAATCATATGTTAGGTAGGTGTCCATTTTATTTTTTGTTATAAATTTACTTTCTGTTCTCTTTTATCCTCCCCCTCTATCTCCATGCTTACCCTTACTGTTTTTCTACCTATTTTGGATGTTTAACTCTTTTAGGGGTAACTTTTATACTTTTAAATACTGTACCTATACATGTGTTTCTTGATTTATCAATTTTAAAGATGAAATGAGCCTATTTACATTTCTTTCACCTCCCTTTTCTCTACTTATCTTAGTTCTGATTCTTCTTTTCATCATTATACATCTCGGTAGAGATCATTATATACATTTCCCCCTAGATTTTGGTATGTCCTCTGATGAGAGGGGGAGTGAGGAGATTGTGGGAATTGAACCTGGGGCCTTGCATGTGTGAGGCAAACATTTTACTACTAAGTTAAATCATTAGTCCTTTTTTTATTTTGAGACAGGATCTTGCTAAGTTGCCCAGGTTGGCCTCAAACTTTTGAACCTCCCGCCTCAGTCTCCTGAGTAACTGAGAATACAGGCTTGTGCCACCATACCCAGCCATTTCCCCATTTTTAAATCAGGTTATTTGCTGTGGTGGTGGTGGTGGTAGTTGTTATTGAGTTGCAGGCATTACTTATTATTGCAGTTACTAAACCCTTATCATTTATGATTTGTAAATATTTTCTCCCACTCTCTGGGTTGCCTACTCACATTCCTAAGTTTCCTTTGAGATGCATAGGTTTTTAAGTTTGATATTGTCTCATTTGTCTATTTCTTGCTTTTGCTACATGTCCTTTTGGTGTCATAGCCAAGAAATCATTGCTAACTACAATTTCCTGAAGTTTTTCCCCTATGTTTTCTTTTAGGAGTGTTAATGGTTCTACTACTTGTGTTTAGGTCTCTTTCTGTTTTGGGTTCATCGTTGTATATGGTATAAAGTAAGGATTCAACTTCGTTCTTTTAAATGTGGTTATCCAGTTTTCCAAACATCATTTGCTGTACAGACTATCCTTGCTCCATTGTGTAGTACTGGTACCTTTGTTGAATTAATGTTGAATTTATACAATTAATTTTATGTATTTTTAATGTAAGCAGTTCAACTGGAACTATTTCCAAAATACAGTATGTAAGATTAGCCCCTTAACTCCTTTCTCTCATGATCTGGATATTCTGTCTTCCTCTAAGAAATGAAGCTTAATAGCTAGGTAGTAATGGCTTGTGTACTATATGCTTTTATCTCATAAAAATGGGGCCATGGACAAACACAAAGTAACCTGATTTGAGCTCCTTTTTTCACAATTTTTAAAAAGTTGTATTGATGTTGGCATTGGCTTTGTCACAGTCTTCTAGAATAACTTTAGATTTTATGTTTTCCTTGTTTTGGTACTGAGACATTAGTATCTTTCAGGACTGCCCACAGTTGCCACAATTATCTTATATAAAATAGGTATATAAGGTATATATATAAGACAGATAGATAAAATAGCAAGACAGACATATATACATATACATGTATAAAATGGGAGGTATTTGCATATAACCTAAACAAATTTCCTGTTATGTAAATAGTTGTTATACTGTACTTATACAAAGACAAGGAAAAAGTCTGTACATGTTCAAAACAGATATAATTTTTCCCTCAAATGCTTTTGATCTGGAATTGACTCTACAAATGCAAAATCCATGAATACAAAGGACCAACTCCATCTGTTCGTAATCCTTTTTCTAAACTGCTGTACCTTTTCCCAGAAATAACAATTATTTTAAAAGTCAGTATGTTTGTTCAAAAGAAAGCAGCATTAAAATGATTTGTATAGTATAAAGAATGATCTGTTTAAATCATGAAGCTGTATTTTTATTAGAATAAAATAGAAACACACAAACACTGACATTCAGATACCTAGACAGACAGACAGACAGATACCCTCAATCTCATTACCTGAAATATCTATGTGTAAGGATTCTTTCTCCTCTGTCCAGGCTTCTTTATGAATGGTCCCCTTAATACCAATCTCATTCTGTTTAGTGGCTTTCGTGTCTGGTAGGTTTTCAACCTTTGTGTCTTGTACTTGAGCTGAGTGCTCCGCAGGAGCAGCATCACTGGAACCTAAGACAGGAAAAGTAACACATCAGCAATAGCAACTTGACAAAAGAATATTTAAAATACCTGTAAAACATCTACTATGTGAAGGCATTGGTACTGGTGTTGCAAAAATAAAAAGATCAGGTACTTGTTTAGAAAATGGCCTAAAATGGAGAAAAAAGAACATTTACGTTAACAGATGTCATACAAAGTTAAAATTATACCATGAGAGAGAGAAAATTCTAAATACTCAAAGACAGAAAAACTAATCAAGAGCTGTCTGAACTCTGGACAAGTGATTTGGGTGTTAGAAAATGGGACACATCTTGAGGTGGAAAAAGAAGCATTTTAGGCAAAGCAGCTAATTCTGCTCTAAAACACATTTCCAGTTTACAATTGTAGCATGAATACCAGCTGTCTTCTAGTATCTGTTTTTCTTCTAATATAGAACTCTAACATTAGCTGTGCACACAGTTACCAGAATAAAGGTATTTCCCAGCCTCCCTGCCATGATAGCCCGGTGTGATCATATGCCTAAGTCTGGCCAGTAGGATGTAAGGGGAGTATGTAGTAAATGTAACTTCTAAGTACCCTCAAAGGAAGGAATATACTTCTTTTCTCTTCTTCCTGATAGCTGTAATATGGGCTGAGAGCTACAGTTTGAGAAGGGAGGTCAAAAATGTTATAGAGCAACAGAAGAGAATGAGCACTGTTCCATGATACTCGGAGCACATCAACCCTGGATGTATACGTCTGGACTTTGTATTTTGCCTATCTTTCTTAACCAGTGTTGTTTCTGTCTTCATCTCTGAGACAAAGGTAAGCCTAACATATTCACACTAGTATAGATATTTCTAATCAGCATATTCCTGTTGAAGTAAAATAACTACATAGGTAACCTGGAAGTAAATAAGCTGAATGCCTAAATAAAGGCTTATATACAACAATGGTATTAGAGAACCAGAATCTCATGGCATTGAAATGTTTTTCTAGTAAAGGAAAAAGTGCAATTAAATGAGCTTCTAGCAGAGATTAATTCGTGTATTATATTCAAAAATTAGGTAAAACCTCCAAGAGCCTTAAAAATACCAATTTTAAGTGCTGCAGCATACCAAAAATGTGGCTAGAAAAGTCTTATTTCATATATGAGCAAGATAGAGGAGGACTGAAGAAGAGACTAGAAAACACACTTCTGTTTATATTCGTAAGGGAACAGTCTCATTTCAGAAGATCAAAGTATACAGACAAACTCATTCAGCCACTGTATACTGACAAGCCCATTCAGCTACCTGCAGTGTCTTTTTGCAAGGATTCTTTTTCTTCAGGCGAGGCAGTCTTAGTCTTTACCCCTTGACTGAAGATATCCTCTTTCTGTTTTTTGATTGAGAGGTTCTTATCCCCAGTAATGGACACTTGAATTGAGGCTTCTGTAACAATGACATCATTTGATGCCACAGAAAAGGAAAAGATAATAAACATAATAGACAAGCGACCCTCCCACTCCTCCCCCCCAAAGCAAATAAAAACCCCAAGCCTCTTTATAAGTTAGGGAAAAGGTACCTATTAGGTTCCAATATACAATAATTATGACATGAATTGGAAACTTTATCATATTTTTCTGTGTACATTTAACATTTTAATTAAAACCTGTTTTTTGATAATTTGATGCAATAGTAAAAACAGGTACAGATCAGGTTGTTTTTCAAAGTGAAAGTAGATTTGAACAATGATTTCAATTTCTTTGACCCATTCAAAGCTTTTACATTTATGGAGCCAATTTTGATGTTTTAAATAGTCTAAGAAAAGTACTTACATCATCTAGATTTTATATATAGCATTCTCATATATTTTTTAAAAAATCTAATGTAATTATTTATATTCTTTAAAACTTGTCTAATACTTTCTGATTCTCTTTTCTTTTCCTTAGTATGCCATTTCCTATTTCTAAGTATATTTTTCAACAAAGAAATCAGAAAGGCAATAGGGATTACTAAAAAGAACAAACAATAAATATAAAAATAAACAATGACTGGTTTTATTGTTTTATTTATCATTGTTTATTTATCATGCTCTTTTCCTTTAATTTTTCTTAATTCTATTATTTCAACTCTCCTGATCTTTCATGTAAATGTCTTCTGAAATCTTTTGAACATTACAAGGTAATGAAATATTTCAAGGATAATGAAAATATAAATAAAATAATGAATACCAACTACGTACAACTGAGTTTAAAAAATAAAACATTACAGACAGACATGATTCCTTGTGTGAAGTCTCAATGGCATTCTCTCATCTCGGTAGTAACCTTCATAGTGAATTTAGTTTATCAACTGCAAAAATGCTTTTAATTCATTACTATACTGTATTAATATCAACATTAAGATAATCAACATTAATCAATAATGTATAACCTAGTCTTAAATGTACCCTTCATATACAGAGTACAATACTGTATATACCCTTTAAGCAACATGCCTTTCTGTTATGATTTTGAGATTTAATATATGACTCTGACTTTCAATGTTGTGTAGTATTCTACTGTACTAACATATCAAATTCACCTGTCAATCAACGTAAGGCTATGTCTGATTTTTTAATACTGAAAAGCACTAATGAACATTCTTATAAATCTTCCTTTTGGTTACATAATTGCAAGTATCTTCCCTTAATCTGTCTTTTAATAGCTTATAATGTATTTAAAGCATGAAATTTGTCATTGTAATAATGGCAGCTTTATTTATTTTGTCCTTAGGATCTGTGCTTTGTCCTAAGAAATCTTTACACTGTAGCAGAAGATGTCTCTCCCTGCCCCACCCCGCAAGGCCAGTACACTTCAGTTTGTTAACTGCCCAGGTAATAGTTCTGCTTACAATTCCTGTTACTTTTGTTTCTTAGAAAGGGCTGGTCACTGTGATGCACAGCTTAGTCACTATGATACACAGTGTAAGAACCAATCCCCAACTGACAAGCCATTCTGCTTCTGTACTTCCTGCTTGCTTATCCCATTTAAGCCCTAGACCACCAGAGATTGGAGCCTTATATTTTAGAAATGATCCCAATCACTACCTGTGGACATGAATAAAAATCTGCCTCCGAATCCTAGGTGTCATTTTGGTGTTCCTGCTTGCCATAGCAACTGTATCATCAAAACGATGGATCATCTAAAATCTAAAAGTTTAAAATTTTTCTTTTTGACAGCAAATATACCTGGAATACATTTTTGTTCAGTGTGCAGGAGGGATTTTTCTAAGTTTTTCTATAGTTTTTATGTTTATATATACATAAACTAGATAATTTTTCTATATTTTATATATAATTTTTCTGTATTTTTCTAGTTTTTCTGTATTTTTTCTATTTTTTGTATTTTTCTATATTTTCATCGATTTTATAATATATATTCATTGTATGTGTGTATATATGTGTGTGTGTATATATATATATGTATATTTAAATCAATGGCCCAAACACTATTGAATAATTCATCTTCTTCATCCTTTTTCCATAGATTGTTATGCTATCTTCCTATATACTGTATTAAGTTTCTACATTCACAGGTGTGTTTCTGAGTCATCAGTCTGTTTTACATTTGTTTATTCCTTTACAAATTATACCTCAAAGTAAGCTACATATGTAGTAAGTCTTGATGTCTGCTATAGTAAGTTCCCTTATTTTTTCAACCTATTTTTAAATTTCTGAAAATCAACTAAGTGTGGTGGCACACACTTGTAATCCCAGCACGTGGGAGGCTGAGGCAGGAGGATTGCTGTGAGTATGAGGTCGGTCTGGGTCACACAGTAACTTCAAGGCCAGCCTGAACTACATAGGGAAACCCTGTCTCAAAAAAACAAAACAACAAAAAAAAAAAACCAAGACATTTGGAATCAGCCTGTCAAGATGTATGGAAAATCCTCCTGACATTTTGAATAGCAATGCACTGAATTTAAGACATCAATTTAATAAGAAATGACATCTTTAATTTACTACTACTATTGCACAATTCTCCAATTATTTAGGCCTTCCTTAATATATTTCAATGTAGTTTTATAATTTTCTCTACAATAATCATGCATGTCCTTTTAGGTTTATTTTAGTTATTTATTTATTTATTTTTGGTACCAGGAATCAAACTCAGGACCTTTCACTCGCCAGGCAGTCGTTATGCCACTAAGCTATATCCTCGGCCCTTTAAGGTTTACTTCTAAGTTTACTTTTTGTTGATATTTACTGTATAGTAGAAAACATGCATAGAAAAATACACAAATATAGAGGTCAGTGAATTATTAAAATTCACTGAGGCTGTGTATAAACTTACACAAGCCCATATATGGAAAATTTGTTTCTGGGTTTTTTTCCTCTTTGATTAAGTTTGTTTATTTAAAAATGAAACCCATTTTTAACTTACACTACACAGTTCCTTGGGGATAGAGAAAGATTTTGTGATGATATCAATGCAATGTTTTCTGGCTCTTCCTGGTTCTGCAGAATTAAGACCTTCCCCAAGAGTTCTGTCCTGTCAGCTAGTAAGGACCAGTGCTGTTCAGACATGGTCCAACCAAGGACATATGGGAATCTCTAGTGAGGGCACTTGCTTATAGTAACAGAGCACAAGGCCTTAACCAGATACCCTGGACCTCCAAGCTTTGCAGATGGCTCCGCTAAGCCACCAGGCCTATACCATCCCATTCAGTACCCTCACTGGGTGCTCATCTTTCCTGGCCTTCAACTATCTACCCACCCCTCCACTCCTCTTGTAAACATCAGAAGTGTGGGTTTGGTGGGTGTCATGGTAGGTAGTTGTGCCTTTAAAACCACATCTTCTATCAGTATTGAGGAAAGGTAAAGGTGGAGGGAAATGCCCCAGAGGCAGTGAGGTACAACTCCCACCATTTCAACTCCCAGCACCAACTTCGGGCAATGTGCTTGTGGAAGAGCATCATAAGAATGGAATTTTAAAAACAAAACAAAATGGAATTTTTCTTCCCCTTATGGTCAGTTTGTTTATCATTGAGACACCTGTCTCAATTACTACAGTTTTATATGTTTCCACATGTGCTACTGTAAATCCTCTAGATTTTTTTCTTTTTCAAGATTGCTTTTGGGGCTGGGGATTTAGCTCAGCGGCAAAAGCGCCTGCCTGGCAAACACAAGGTCGTGAGTTCGGTTCCCGGTACCGGAGAAAAACCAAGATTGCTTTTGCTATTCTTGGCATTCTGTATTTTTTTATCAATTTTATAATAAGCTGACTAACTTCTTGGAAAAACTGCTGAGATTTTGACTGGACTTTTCTAATTTTTTAATATTTGTATTTAAGTATGTAATTTCATCTTTAAATATCACTTTAGCTATCTTTCCCAAGTTGAAAATAGAATTTTATTATTATTCAGTTCTAAATATATAATTTCCATTCTGATTCTAACTTCTGAGTTATTGAGAATTACACTTTTAAATTTTCAAATGATAAATGATTTTATCAGTTTCCTTGGCTTGCCAAAACAAATTATAAGTTTGGCAGCTTTAAACAAAAGAAACTTAATCTGACCTACAGGGTACAAGTCTGAAAGCCAGCTGTCTGCTAGGCCATGCTGAGAAAGCTCTAAGGAAAGAATTCTTACTTGTCCCTTCCAGTTTCCAATTGCCTTGGTGTTTCCTAGCTTGTGCCAGCATAACTCTAGTTTCTGCTCTATCCTAACATGGTTTTCGCTTTTTTTTTTTTTTTTAAAGAGGAACACAGGTCAAACAAGATTCTTAACTTATTACATCTGCAAAGACATTATTTCCAAGTAAGGCCACATCTTGAAATTTTTGATAGATATAAATTTTAGGAGAACACTATTCAACCCATTACAGATAGGTTCCTTTATTTTGTTAGTCTATACTTTTATTGTTCAGTTCAAATTTAGCTACACTGTGGTCAGGGAAACTGGAGACTGGTCTGAACATCCATTCTTTCAAACCAACATTTTCATCAATTTTTCTATGTGTTTCTGTGGTTGGTGATTGTTTTTTTGTGTCTTGGTGGTATTAGGGTTTGAACTCAGGGCCTCAAGTATATAAAAAAGCATTTTACTCCTGAGCTCTTTTACCCTAGCCCTCATATGCTTTTTTAAAATGCAAAACTTTGCTATCATCTATAAATCAAATTTTTCAATTCTATTATTCAAATATTCTCCATCTTTATTCAGAAAGTGGTAAGAAGATAGGATAAGTATGTTTGAAGTAAGGGAAAGTATTTTGAGAGGGATTAATGGCAATGTGCCTTTTACTGTAATAAATTTTAGATCATCCTTTGTAAATAGTGTTAACAGTGATTTGAATCAACATCCAATTAAATAAGTACGTAGTGTTTAAATGATTGTGGTATGCAATTATTAATCACACTTAAGCCACCTAGTACACTATAATTACATTTATTTTCTTTTAGAAATTTCTGCTTTTCTTGAAGGATAATTACCTTGTTTTTGTACTTGCTAAGTTTCTATGTACTAATTCCTACTTCATCCTTATAGTTTTTTAAAAAATTGAAATTTTCTGAATACAATTAATCACATAGAGCAATGGTGGTTAAAACTATGGCACACATGATGCAGCAAGCTGTTTGCTCTAAAAGGTTCGCCATCATAGACAGGGTATACTATGAATTTAACTTTTCTTGAGTCCTAATTAGAACTGGTTCTAAGCCTTCTGTACAATTATTACAAAGGAGGAGTTTCAACTTTTTTTTCTCTCCTGTGTGCCCCGCCCCCCAATTGTTCCTTCCTTTAAAAAACAAAACAAAAAGCCTCCCATGTTTTAGTTAAATAATTTTTCCTCAAATTTCTAAGACATTATCCCTTTGGTCTCTAGTTACCTGTTTTGCTTTCGAAAGGTTTAATGTCAGCCTGATTTCCATTTCTCTATATGAGACCCAAGTTTCCTTTTTGAAGCTTTTAGAATCTTTTCTAACCAGTATTATGAAATTTGAAACTCATGTAATTTGGTGTGCATTTTTCATGTAGTCCCTTTTAAATAAAGTAATTCAGATCCGTCGGCACTGGAATGTATTCCTATACTGGTCCTTTGATTCCTTCTATCTTTTTTATTGTCTAGGGAACACCTATCTGGATGTTGAACTTTTAAGGCAAATCTTGAGGGTTTTTTTCCTTTCTCTTCTTTCCCTTTTTCTATTTTCTACTTTCTAATATTTTTTCACTTTTCTAGTCCAACCCTTCCAGGAGATTTTTATTTCTTTCTGATATCATATTTTTATGAGCTCACTTAACTATTACATAAATCCCTGATCAACTTCCTCAGCATGTTTTCCCTCCTCTAACCTTTAATCTTCTTAGGTAAGAATTCTGAGAATGGACTTTGGTCAAGGTGAACAGACTGCCAACAGTCTGAGGTAGGAAGAGTACTTTTCATTATGGTAAGTCTAAGGTCTAAGAGTAGTCCAACTACTCCTGAGGTTGAGGGCCAACTACTCCTGATGAGAGGCTTTAGGAGTAATTAGCTTGAAATAAACTGAGCCTAACTTTACGTCAAACATACCATCCTTACCAAAGTAAGCCCAGGGACGAGTTATAGCTAGTGAGTTCTTTCTGGAGACTTCTGATGGAGCTCACTTAATCTACAACCTGTATCCTGCCAATTTTTCATACCTACCATCTCAGAAAGTTTTTGACAGTAGGATCTTAGGGTTATCTGTGTCAACTCAGTTGCCACTAGCATAGATGGACAGTCTGATAGCAGGATCTTAGGGTTATCTGTCAACTCAATTGCTACTACCATAGATGGACAGTAGCAAATAGGTAAGAGATTCCTAGTGCCTGAGAGTTTTCATTTATGAACTATATTTTACAAAAATGTTTCTTTTATTTACTTCGCAGCCTCGATGTCAGCTAACAAACATACCTATTTTTCTCTCATTTCAAGAGGCATTTAAAAACAGACTTCTGCATGCTTTGCATTGTGGTAAAAATTATCTAGAAGAATAAATGTATTTTAGCTAGCATATTTTCATCCTTTTTCTTAACAAAGTCATTGACACAATGCCAAAACTACAACATAGAACCACTCTGTTTTAAAACTGTCCTAGAATCAGTATTGCCTGTGTGACTAATATCTATATACAGGGACAAAAAGTATAAATATAACATAGTAATTATACACACAAAATTTTCAGTAGCTATTGGGAGTTTTCACTTAATACATATTATCACATATAAACCAAAGAAGTACAATGTCTGGGATGCAGAAGAAAAAAAACAAGTCAGTCTCTTAAGATTAAAGTCATTTATAAAATGGTGGGGTCTAAATCTAGGGATAAAGTTCAAAACTTACACACACACACTGACCAGACAGACGAAGTAGCTGAATGAAGTTACTGAGTCTGTTTTGGAAACAGAAGCAAACAGGAGAACAGATCCTGCCAGTAGGGCACAGCAATAGCTCAGCTGCAGCTATTACTGCCTTTGCAGAATATTAACTCAGCTCAAACATACTTTACTTTTTCAAAAGAAGCCCAAAATCTTATTTGATTGATCAAGATTTTCTATGAACTTTAGTTCATAGAAACATATTTGAGTGGGAATTCATTTCAAAAGTTGCAATGTATCTCATTTCCCATAGTAAAAATAATTTTCAAAAATTGCTGAAACATTTTAAAGAATTTTGTAAATATTTTTTTCTTGCATACACCCAGTATACATACAAGGAGAAATGTTTGCAAAAACACATTCAAAAAAGAATATAGCTGATATTCTCATTTAGGATGAAAAAGAGTTAATAAGCCATTCCAGTCACCTGCATTATCTTTGTGAAAGGCTTTTTGCCCCACTGACAAGGATGCCTTAGTTACTGCTCTCTTACTGTAGATCCCTTCCTTATGTTTAATGTTCACAGTGAATTGGAGGTCATCATCTCTTGTACCTAGCACCTGGGCTGGAAAGTCTGGAGCAATAGCATCATTGGATCCTACAGAAAAAAAGGGAAAGTAATACAGTTAGCACAAATAGAGACTGAAAGTTGGGAAAGGCATTTTAAAAATTTGACCACTTTGACCACTTCTATGAAAAAAAGGCACCACAATGTGAGTGTTGTAAGGTAATCAGAAGGGGTTGCCTGTCAACCTGGACTACAAGACATATAAAATAAATACCAATAAAACAAGACAGAGAAGTAAATGCCATAAGAGAAGATATATGGAGTGGAATACTGACCACTTCAGAAGGGAAATTATTTGCAGCTCAGGAAGGTTTTTGGAAGAACTATCTTGGAGGCAAAAACACAGGTTTTTTGTTTTGGAGAAGAAGGTACGTAGAAAGGCATTTTAGGCAGAAGTTACCGCATAAACAAACATAAGGGATGTATAAAAATAGTAGACACTTTTATTATCAGCCTGGGTTATAAGGTACATTATGAAGAATAGAGATACTTAAAAATAATTGGGACAAAATTCAACAGTGCCTGTATCTCCAGTGGAAGACTATAAATATTAGTATACATGAAATATAAAATCACTG